TACGTTACGTACGTACGACACACACACACACACACACACACACACACACACACACACACACACACACACACACACCACACACACACACACACACACACACACAAAAGTCTGAATATGCGAGTTCTCTCTACTGCGTCCTGCAATTCGTTCATGAGAACGTGACGATCGCATACTCGTCACGTACGCAAACGAAAGATCAATTTTTCAGGCACCGTCGCGGTACAATCCTCCCCGTCGACAGTTTCATTTCCTTTTCGCGTAGCTCGCGGTGCAACAGGTGTACGGATAACCGTTGGCCTCGGCTCGTTCGCTGATTACACGCGCCTTCGTTATCGATATTCCGCACCCCGCATCGTCTCGTAGTGAGGGAGGAAAAAAGATAAACCGAAAAGGATAATCCGCCGCGTCGTGAAACTTTAATTTATGACCAACGAAATTCTCAGAGAGAGGAAAAAACTTGAATAAAAAAACATGACGTCTGCATTAAAAATATTTTCAATATATGAAATTCTGTGAGAATCAAAAAAACCGATTGCAAGTGGCATATTTATGTGTGCTTTACTTTATGTAAATATTTTTTAAAGGACATTTTACTGTTTGTGACGTAAATCAAATTGCAAATATAACATTTTCAATGAGAATCCGAGCGAAGGCAGATCGATTGCCGATTACGCAACAGCAACAGGTACTCATTCGAGATGATTAATTATGGAGAAAGATCCGTGAGGGAGGGGGGGGGGTATCAATAAGAACGAGCCGAATACAAAAAGCGAGCGAAAGCGAGTAAATGTACGAAGAGGGAGGAAGAGAGGAGGAGAGGAGTCGACAACGAACGCGCAAGTGAGTGAGGTTTAGTACATTTAAATAAGAGCCACAGGTAGCAGCATTATGCAGTACGTGCCAGCTACCCCCCCAGGAGGGGTGAGTTAGATCATCGTGTGCCGCGGGATCCTCCTGTGTCGTAGTCTGTTTCAACTACCCGACTGGTTTTGCGCGCCTTCGCACCTGTGGCCATTCGCGTTATTGTTGCCGTTAACTTCCTTCGTTTTCTTATTCTTTATTACTCGCACGTGCGAGGAAGCGCGACTAATTATCGCTCTCATACGAGATGTACGCGAGCTCTTCTGCGCTTCGAGCGTTACGATAAAAAAAAAAAAAGAAAAATAGTAGAAACACAGATGCCCGCACGATACTTGTCTTTCTCGCCTTGTGCGCAATCCGAGCGATATAACGAGAGAAAATTAAAGGAGCGATAATTAATACTATCTTATTTTCATAACATTCCTTAGCGAAAATTACTTATACTGAAATCAAGGGATGAAGCACTGATGAAATTAAGATGTGGAAATTTAGACGGAGCAAAAAATAAATATTGGTTAGGAGAGAAGAGAAGAAGATGTGTTTTGTGGAGAAGGAAAAGTTAATAAAAGTAATATAGAACATTATGTAAGGGAATGCCAGAAAATTAAAGATTGGTGAATAGAATTAGGTAGGAACAGAGGCGATCATAGGAAAATTATGGGAGAAAGAGTTAGATTGGGAAAAAAAAGTAAAAGTTTTAAGAAAAGTATGAAAAGAAAAGGAAAAGGAATTAAAGAAAAGAAGAGGAAAATAAACAACAAGAGTAAAAACAAAGGAGGAGATAAGTTTTTCGCAAAAAGAGAATTGTGATAAGAGAGGCTGCGATAGATAGCAATAAGTAAGTAAATAGTAGGCAAATAAGGATGGAGGGATAGGAAAGATGAGCAAAAGTTATAAGCAAGCGAAAAGCAAAAGAAGTAGTAAGAACAAGTATAATTGTATAACAGGATAGATAACAATGTATGGAAGGATGAGTGTGGTTAAGTGATTAATTTTGTAAACAAAGTCCCCTTTTTGGGCTGTAAAACTAGAGTGCAAATAAATTCTATTCTACTTATACTGTGAAATCAGCTTCTTCTTCTCGGCTTCTAACACGGTATGATCTTTCACAAATCGATCGTGAAGGAGATCATTATTATAATGTTAGAAAAGCTATGCTAAAACATTCCACAACTTCGCAAACGGGCACGTCAAGAGTCCCGTGGTTCGGGAGAATTCCTATGAGGCATTCTCCAAATAATTTTCTACAAAGTGCAACAGTTGGCCGTGGCGCGTTTCTAGGTCGACACGATAAAACTGAGGCCCTCTTAGCGCGCCAGAGAAACCGTGTCGGTGGATGCCGGTTATGCTCAAAATATCGCGATATTTCGTGAACATGGTCGACACCGCCAACAACGGTTGTTCGCGAGATCCGCGAAACTTTGCTTTGACAGCTTTTATTGTGTCTTTTCTATCGCTGCCATGGCACGCTCGAGCGGCCACAAAGCTCTGTCGCTGAAAGAGAAATTATGCATTCCGCGTTATCCGCGAATGGCCTCCGGAATTTCACTCACCTCGTCCCCTTTCTCCATTCCTCTGCTGTAAATACTCAGGAGTACGCGTGATTTATCTCCAGAGTTCTTGAACAAAACCGAAAGCCGAAATCCCACTATTATTAAATGCTTACATAAGTATTATATAAAGATACTATCAAATGTGTGTGTGTGTGTGTGTGTGTGTGTAGATTAAGTGGATTAATTAAAGTATTAATTTTTACGACGTTGCAAAGTTATTCCCACAGTTTTGTAAGACCCGCATATTGCATTAACACATTACCGTACAACTAATTCTGGTTGGTCAGCCAGATATAACGAAAGACCGGCCATCCGTCTTCTCTACCCTTTTTTCGCGCTTTTTATCTTTCGCTGTCTGCCAACTTTTCGCAGTGGTGCCGACACCACGGTGATCTACGAGCGGCTGATAGAAGACTCGCGCGAGGCGTATAAATTCGCGTTCGTTACGCGCGCCACGGTGGCTCGGTGCCATAAATGCTACTGCTTCGTCGTAGAACACTAGTAAACAAGCGGAGAAGAAAGAAGACGAGAAGCGATAATAGAATTGTCTTTACATATCTATCATTGGACTGACAGATTATGAATGACACTGTTTAAAATATCGAAGACAGATCTCGTTCAAAGCGTTCGTTCGACCAAAACGATATTGACGCACACAACGCATTTTAATACGACGCACGCGCACGCATTCTCACCTTTAGATATAATACTGAATGCATAATACTAAGGCTAAAAGCGGAAGAGAGTTCAGAGAGGATTAGAAGGCCGAGGAGAAAAGGGCACAAACTTTAACTTATATGAAAGTAAAGTTTCTTTAAGATCCTATATTTCCGGCGAAACAAGTCAAAAAAGCAAGACCGAAAGTCTAATGCTCTTTTTTTAAAATTATTATGTCATAAAGAAAATGCATACAATCTACTGTTGATGAACGTGTTAAAGTTAAGTATTAGAATTAAGAAAAATATAAAATTATGTGTGTTCAATTATTCGGTTATAGTTAGAGAGATTTGTCAAGCAAGCTTTGTTGATTAATGTTTCTTTTTAAATATTATAAATAATGTTTTAAATATTATAAATAATGTTGTACCATCTTGCGACATTGACAAATAAAAACAAATCTTATTTTTTTATAAATGAATTAACGTAAACACACACACATACACACATACACAATTAGCATTGATAGCTCTTAAAAATGTTTAATTTTCAACATTCATATGAATAACATGATAAGTATAAAATATTTAAAAAATATTGATTTAAAAATTTGTAAATTCTCTTTTCGAAAAAGGCTCTAAACGAAGAGATTTCTTTTACAATTTATTATTTATTTATTATTTAATTAATCTATTCTATCTTTTCGATTATTATTTTCACGATATATTATTCGCTCTCGTGAAATTTCCTCGTTGGACCGTCTCGATCGATCGAGTGGGTCGTGGCATCATAATGTACCCTTAATTCGATTTCGTGTACCCCATTGTGTCAAATTGGATTGAATGTTGCCGTGAAATATTTGCTTAGGATCCGACAGGTAGCTTTAGCTGGTTTCTACTTCACGCACGACGCATGCAATAAACTCGAAGAGGAAGAAGGAAGAGAAATGAAAGTCAGCAGGGTGAGAAAGAAAGACATAGAAAGGAATAGATGCAGAGAACGCAGAAAACAACTAACGGTTTAGTCCTGGCTATGTGAAAACGGCTTGCTACCTGAACATTTGTTTGCATAATTTAGGCATTTTCATCGGAGCCCAACCTAGAGGGGGTCCAGACCAGCCGAATGCATCTTGTTCTGCGATCAAAAGTCTGAAGGTGCGAAAACATTTGTGTAAAACACCACCATGAAATCGATTCTGTCCAATTAGGCGTTAAATTTCCATTTTTCCCTCATTTCACGTTTATCGATTTTACATAAGTATCTTTTAGAGTCTCGCATTCATGCGTATCACATTACATCGCAATCTTATAAACACAAATTATTTTCAAATACTTAATAGAAGTTATTACGAAAAGAATAGTCTTG